GAGGCAGGGCTGGCCTCGCGGGCAGTGGCGTGAGAAGGGAAGGCGGTGGACCTGGACCGGCTTTGCGCGCGGGGACTGTGCACACGTGGGTTCTTGACGCGTGTGAAACACACGTGGAACAGGGCAGCCGGAGCACTCGACCCGGCGACTGGCGGAGTCGAAAATGCAAAACGCCGGAAAGGAAAGCGCTCGAGTCGCCAAGCCACAGCGTGGGGCTGCAGCCCCGGGGCGGGGCTGGGAAAGTTGAGTTTCAGGCGCAGAGGGCTGGGCTCCGCGCGGAGTGCGGCCAACGGGGACCGTAAAAGGCTGGAGCGCGCGGGTAGGTGTGGCTTTGCGTTCGTGACCCGAGCCCGGGTCCCTGTCGCCGTCGTGTCCCGAGCTGCGGTCTCTCAGCCATGGGCGCCGTCTGGTCCGCCCTGCTGGTCGGAGGGGGTCTGGCCGGAGCGCTGTTCGTCTGGCTGATGCGCGACAAGGGAAAGAAGGGGGACGCGGAGCGGGAGAAGGACGCCGCTCTGGGAAAGGCTGCGTCGGCCGGAGGCGATCAGAGTGGCGGCAGCGGACTGAGCCCGGGACCTTCCAGGCGGGAGCCGATCACCAAACCAGGTGCTGTACCTTCCTCTCCGCGTCTCCAGGGCAGATCTGCCAAGGGCTCTGAAATTCGCCGAGGGAGGAACATGCCCCCCTGGAGCATTCATTTCCAGGGACGAACTTTCCCACCCGGGCTAGGACCCTCCCCGCGCCCAGTAGTTCCCAGGCTGGTGCGCACGCACCGCACGGGTTTCTCGCCTTCTCCCGAAGCCCTAGGGATGCCCTGGCGGTTCCTCCTAGGACGGCGCCCCGCCTCGCCTCTGTCCCCAGGGACCGACCCTGAGGACCTGCCCTTGTCCCTCTCGTGGGCCTGGGCTCTGCCCGGCGGCGCGAGGCGCAGTGCGGGCGGCTGCAGTGGCGGCGCCCCTCCCGGACTTCGGAAGGGAGTGCGGAGGTTTGGGGGGACCCATGCAACCCTCTTCAACCCCTGATGGAGCAGGGACATGTTCTCAGTCTCAATCCCGCAGACTCAGGTCCTCCCACCCTCACGCCGCCGTGGAAGAGCTGGGCTTGGGAACACCCGCGGGGGTGGGGGGGCACCTCCCGCTATCTGGGTGCTTCTGTCTGGAAAGCAAAGTTCAGGTTGGACTCTGGCCACGAAGGCTCTGCGGGCCCTCCCCCACGCTCACCACAACAGCGCAGGGCTGCCTCACTCCGGGAAAGAAAAACAGGACACTGAATAGGGGACCCGACTCCGATGAGTAGAATGGCCATGCAGGGTTAAATCTCTGCATTTTGGAGAGGGCATGCCAGGCGAAGTAGGAGCACTGGCAGAGACCTTACTTTCCAGTGTCTCCTGGGCAAGTCGCCATTGCCTCTCCAGCCTGCCAGTGATAACATCTGTGAACTTGAAGGTCTGCCCCTGTGCCTTCCCTGCCGTTGGTTTGGGTGAGCAGAGAGCTCATTTTCCTTTATCTGATCCTATGTTTCGGGTTGAAAGATTCGGGGAATTCAGAGTAATATTTGTTTCTGTCTTACTTCCAATCCCACCATTAAAGAGAAAATTAAAGATTACTTTCCACTCACACCCTTCCATACCCCTCAAAAAAACCCCATCTGTGCCCTGGCCAGTGTGGTTCAGTTGGTTTGGTTTTGTCCAGTGCCCCGAAAGGTTGCTGGTTCAATTCTCAGTCAGGGCACATGTCTGGGTTGCGGGCTCCATACCCATTGGGGTCATGCAGGAGGCAGCTGGTTGATGCTCCACCCTCACATTGATGTTTCTCTCTCTCCCTCTCCCTTCTTCTCTCTCTAAAAATCTATTTTTAAAAACCTTAAAACAGCCCTAGCTGGTTTGGCTCAGTGGATAGAGTGTTGGCCTGCAGACTGAAGGGTCCTGGGTTCGATTCCAGTCAAGGGCACAAGCCAGGGCTACAGGCTTGATCCCGATCCCCAGTTGGGGGTGTGCAGGAGGCAGCTGATCAATGATTCTCTCTCATCATTGGTGTTTCTATCTTTCTCTCCCTCTCCCCTCCTCTCTGAAATTAATAAAAATATATTAAAAATAAAAATAAATCTTAAAACAAAATAACAACCAAAAAGAACCCCATTTGGATGATTGTATGACTGGAGATTTTGATCTTGTAGGGAACAATTTAGACTATCAAGGAGGTGACCAAGAAGGAAACTGAGTCTTTAAGAGAGCTTGGATTGTGTACTTTTAAGAACATTTTTTAAAGCATACAGTGTGAGGGGGTGTAAAAAGCCAATGGTTTGTTGAAGAGCTTCCTGATGCACATGGGGTTGGCAAGGAGAGAACAGCCCTCTTCTACCTCTTCTACCACCCTCCCCCCAGCTCCTGCCCATGAGGCACTGCTGTCCTGTGTGTTCTCCCACCGGCAGCTGCCAGCATCTGTGAGCGCTGATCCCTGGGCTGCCCACAGTTCCTGAGAGCACGAGTGCACTCTGCGGGTTGTAGGGTAGCCATCCAGCCCTTCACTCCACAGGCTGTACACCTGATAACAGGAGCCAAACAACCTGACGTGGGTGCACACCAGTATGGCCTGGATTGCAGAAGTTGAGGACTGTACTCTTCTGCCTGTACACTTGCCACTTCCTGGGCACTCCTGGATGTGCCTTTTATTGTTGGGCACACATGCATATTCTTAGCACACTGGGTCAGTATTGGGTCAGTGTCTGAGCTAGGTGATGAGGTACGTGATTTTAGTAGGGATAGATTTTGTGAACTGCAGATAGATGAGTGGTAAACTCTTCAATGACTAAACCTATTTCCTCAGCCCAGCTTCATTTCCTCTTGCGAGAACTGACTGTTACATTCTGTCTTTATAGAGCATCTTCAAGAAAGCAACGGGTGTTTGGTTTCAGAGACCAAAGGCCCCGGCAGCATGCAGGAAGCAGCGTGGAGACTGCAGAGTCCTCCTGGAGAACACGGTGACCGTGACAATTCAAGACAGCATGCTCCTTTGGGATGGTTTTCAGACGCACAATCTGTAGCTACATCTGCGATCGGAGGCCACGTAGAAGCTTCAGGCAGTGAAAGTCATGAATCTCTTATGGGAGAATGGGGATTCCAAAAAGGACGAGAGATGCCTGCTAACGCAGCTCCATGTTTGGCAGAGACGCTGCCTTCTAGCAACCTGCTCATGGACAGAGGTGAAGAAGACGTGAGCCTTGCCCAGCTGGACAGACAGGACTCGGAGGACTGGGAGATGGTGTCCAGGCACTCGTCTTGGGGGGATATTGGCTTGGGTGGCAGTCTTGAGGCTCCAACGTTAAGCCCGAACCAGGCAGCGGACTATGGCAGAAACAGTCTTGTGGAAGCAAGTGGTCAGGAAGTGGATGTTAAGACAAAAAGGGTAGTAGTGATGACTTCAGAGTCTCAGCAAGTTAGTGTCAGGTTCCAGATCCATTATATCACCAGCACTAGGGTGCAGTTCGTTGCCGTCACTGGAGACCATGAGAGGCTTGGGAGGTGGACCACTTACCTCCCCCTCCAGTACAGCTCGGGGGGGCTCTGGTCTCGTTCTGTCTCCCTGCCAGCAGATACAGTGGTCGAGTGGAAGTTTGTGGTGGTGGAGAACGGGCAAGTTACTCGCTGGGAAGAATGCAGCAATAGGCTGCTGCAAGTTGGCCGCGAGGATACGTTGGTTCACAAGTGCTGGGGGGTTCACTGATGGGGTTTGCAGGGGATTGAAGAAACCGTTGCAGAATGTGGAAGGGGCTCAGGTTGAGCACACTCAATAATCGGAAATAAAGGAAGTATAACTCCAAGTTTAGCCGCGTTGTTTCAGATTTGCTAGTGGCTTTTGTTTAATGTGCAGAAGTATGTACGTGGATAATGCTTCCAGTGAGTGCGGGCTTTTTCTGTGGCCGTGGTGGATGGATTATGCTGACCCATCAATACTATAGGGCTTGGTCCCCTTGGGGAGTGACGTGGCTAAGCTTGGTCAGGGAGCACAAAAGCTAACCACTGCAAGGGTTCAAGCTTGAGCCTTTGGGTGATCCTTAAAGCAGGGGAGCGAAACAAGTTGATGTCCTTGTGGTGCAGCTGGAGAAACGTGCTTTTTACTACATGTACTATACACTTTATGTTTAAAAATAGTTGCCACCATATGGAACTGTGAGCAGAAAACATCTGGTCAACTAGATGTGATTAGGAAGGTTATGAGATTTCCCAATGTTTTTGGCTTGATTTTACTTGCCTGGTATGGTTTGAAGGTAGCAAGTATGTCTTTGTCGTGTGATCGAAGGCTAGTGTAGAAACAAGGGCCTAATCAGAGTCCATCATCAAGAGCAGCCCAGGAGGAAAGGGAACAGAAATGGGGTTGAGGTGTGGGCTAGCCAGGTGGCCTGAATGCTAGCTCTTAGAGCACTGGGAGGTACAGGTAGACACACCTGACCTCAGGGAGGGACACACCCATCATTTACTCCTGGGCTGTTGTGGAACCATCTGTGCCCACGGCAAGGACCAACTGGGGGGTGGGCTGTCCCACAGCAATGGTTTCACCCGCTCCCCTCTCCTTTCATATTAGTGGCTGTCTTGGGTAACCAAATGCAGCAGGCCAATGAGAGAGAAGGGTGTCTTTGCTCTGAGAAGAAATAAGCATTCAAACTTTGCTATTATAACCAAAATAATAAAACCAGAGTTTTAATATATTTATTAAATGTCTGGATTATTTGTCTAAATCTTGGTACCATAATAGCTTTGATATAAAAATACTAATATTTTCCTTCATTAATAACAGACAAAGAGAAAAAGCAAACACCAGGAGACAGAGAAGTCTGTTTTTCTCCTCCCTTTGGAGACACAGTTTTAGAATATTTCTTGTAAAACTGTACCTTTAGAGGGATAGTATGCATGCCTGTACTTGAAAATGAACTCTTATATGTTAAAACAACTTTAAGTAAGTGTTAACACCTTTTGGTGAAACATTGTTTAATTTTGGTTACAGATGATCTTTGCAGAAAAAAAGCTTAAACCCAACTGAAAATAGTGTCAGAAAGTGCTTAAAAGAGCTATGTCTGATTTTTTGGCTCATAGCATTATTATGTTAAGTTGCTGTGTACTTCATAATGAAGTCAACATTCTACCAGTGAGGCATTTTCTGTTACTGCCCAGAATGCCTAAGCATTTCTATTTGGTAAAATTAAAGGTAAAACAATTTATAATAAAAATCTTTAGAGTTCTCTTATTCGCCATTTTATCATTACCTGATGAAATAAAAGTTAATCTTTCAGTAAATCCAATTGCTTTAAGAGATACTTACAATACTACTCATTTTTTAAAATTTTATTAAAAATTGATTGCTTAGAGTACTAATGCTGTCATTTAGAGGAGAAACATGACGTGTGTGTGTGTGTGTGTGTGTGTGTGTGAGAGGGTCTGTATGCCCTACTAGTTTATTACCTGCACTGGACAGGCTGGCACCTGCTGCCGCACAGGCACCATCCCTGCGAGAAGGCTGTGGCAAGTTTATTTCTTACTCACGAAGCAGTGGGCACTGGGTTTTCCTGGCAGGAGGGCAGCTCTTGTAGAGACTGTCACCTACTGTCCCCTGGGACCTCCCTGTCCTCGGTGGCCAGCCCACAGGAGGGGAAATGAAATGAAACCATGAAGGCTTACTAGGACTTTTGTCCGCAAGCAAGGTGCCTGTGGTGGAGGGCAGGGGGCTGGGAGACAGCCTCCAGCTCGGCAGTGAGGTCTGTGCCAGGCAAGGAGTGGGTGCCAACTGTTTGGGACAGCCAGCCTCCTGCCACATGGTCCCTACTGTCTTTGGCACAATTGGAACATTTTTGTATATGTTCTTGTCTCATTTTGTTTGGTTCACACATGTGGCATAATATGGTATAATAAATATATTTAGTCTTTGTCCCAGGTTCCTGGCACTGAGCTCATTAAACCCTTGGAATTTCTTGAGACCAGGGAGTGTCTTTTGTTATTCACAGTGAGGCCCTGTGATCACACCTGAGTTTATGCTAATGAGGCGATTTATGGGGGAGCCCTTATATATCCCTGGGGTGAAGCTGGTCACCAGAAAGTAGTAGTGATTAGAGGTTTGGAACTTTCAGCCCCACCCACCAATCTCTGGGACAGGGTGGAAGACAGGAGAATGAGCTCTAAAAACCCTTGAATAAGTAAAGTGCCCAATGAAGATGATTTGGTCAACCATGGAATGGATTATAATGGAACTGAAAAATACCTGTCACCTAGTGAGGTGGTGGCCATCCTCACATCATAGCATAACTCATGTACTTGCGGTGATGCTGGTGTGAACAAACCAACCACGCTGCCAATCGTATCAAAGTACAGCACGTACAATTATGCACAGTCATAATACTTGATAACAATAATAGATGACTATGTTACTGGCTTATGTATTTACTACACTATACTTGTTATCATCACTGTAGAATGTACTCTTTCTACTTATAAAAAAAAGTTCACTGAAAAACAGTATGCTCTGTTACTCTGGCAGCAGCCTCATCTCATGTTTACTAAGTCTCTTGATTGCATCATTTTCTCTTGTGCTTGATTTACTCTCATGTTGTTTTGTAATTTTAGTGTAGTCTACGTGTACAGGGTTTATAAAGTCTACAATGGGGGACAGTAGTCCTAGGACTTCACATTCACTCACCGACTCACCTAGAGCAACTTCCAGTCCTGCAAACTCCATCTAATTTATGATAAGTGCTCTACACAGGTGACCACTTTTTTTAAAAAACATATTTTATTGATTTTTTACAGAGAGGAAGGGAGAGAGATAGAGAGTTAGAAACATTGATGAGAGAGAAACATCGATCAGCTGCCTCCTGCACACCTCCTACTGGGGATGTGCCCACAACCAAGGTACATGCCCTTGACCGGAATCGAACCTGGGACCTTTCAGTCCACAGGCTGATGCTCTATCCACTGAGCCAAACCGGTTAGGGCAAGGTGACCACTTTTTATCTTTATATCATAGTTTTCATATTTCCACTATACCTTTTCTATTTTTAGATACACAAGTACTTACCATCCTATATTAATAAAAGACAAACATGCAAATTGACCGTACTTTCACTACGCCTTAAGCTATACCCACCAGCCAATCAGAGCGACTATATGCAAATTATCCCAACCAAGATGGCGGCCAGCAGCCACGGAGCTGGAGCAAGCAGGCGGCTTGGTTGCCCCAATGATGGAGGAAGCCAAGCTTCCCCGCCTGCCGTGGCCCGGCTCTGAGCTCCACTGAAAGCAACAAAGTTTCAATTATAGAAGGTAAATAAACCCCAGATACCTGCTTTCAGCCAGCCGTGTCCATGAGCTTGAGCAAGCAGGAGTGGGTTGCCCCTGGTGATGGAGGAAGCCAAGCTTTCTGTAGGCCTCCGCTAAAGGCAACAAAGTTTCAATTATAGAAGGTAAAAAAAAGGAGATGCTGGGAGCTTACGTCGCCGGAGGGCTTGGCCAGCCTGAAAACGGTCCTCAGCCCCTCACCCAGGCTGGCCAAACCTCCATCGGGTGAGGGTCCCCACTGGGGTGGACATCCTTCGAGGGGTCCCACACTGCAAGAGGGCACAGGCTGGGCTGAGGGACCCCCTGAGTGCACAAATTTTTGTGCACCAGGCCTCTAGTTGTGTTATAATTGCCTAAAGTATTCAGTACAGTAGCGTACTGTACAGGCTTGTAGCAATAGGTATACCATATAACAGGTGTGTAGTGGGCTATATCTTCTTATGCATGTGTATGATGTTCGCACAATGATGAAATCACCGAACAACACATTTTTCAGAATGTATCCCTGCTGTTAAGCGGCTCATGACTGTCAGGAGATTTAATGAGCTTTTGGGTGAATACACTGAAGTGCTGGGAGGGGGCACACCCTGAGAGGGTGTAGATGCTTCATGCACAGGTGCACCCCTTGCCCTATGCATCTCTGGCACTTGGTTGTTCCTGAATTGTTTCCTTTATGATAAACCAGTAACAGTAACTAAAGCACTTTCCTAAGTTCTGTGACCCATTCTAGCAAATTACTGAAACTCGGGAGGAGGTTGTGGGAACCCCCACTTTATAACCTGTCAGTCAAAAAGTACGGTGGTCTGTGCCTTTCTATTGCCACGTGCACTGGGAGGCAGTCTTGTGCGACCGCGCCCTTAAGTCTGTAGAAGCTGACCTTAACTCCAGATAGTGCTAAAACTGAGCTGACTCGGAGGACGTCAGTCAGTGTCCACAGAGAATTGGTTATTGGTGTTAGGAAACGCTCCACATACAAAACCCCTAATTTGTTAAACTCTAATTAAGGCAGACTGAATCCATTCAATCCGTAGAAGTTACCTACTGACTGAAGAATAATACGTGTCTTCTTTCTTTATAGTTATTAATATGCAAAAGAGAAACTTTTCCAGAAGTTTTGATCAGGGGCCCAATATTTTGTTGTCTGATCACAGCCACTGATAATGATAGAACAAACAGTTCAGGGTCACAGCAGGAATCCCTGTCATGTGTCAGAGTCTGCCCTGTTCCGGGCATTATACCACATCTTTCACTTCCATGTAAATATTGTTTTTTAAGTTGGAAAAAAAACACACTATTGCTTCAGCACCAGTAAAAAAAAAAAAAAAAAAAAAAAGAGAGAGAGAGAGAAAAAAAAGGCATAATAATTCTAACACACTAGCACAAAGTAATACATTTTAAGTTATGAATACTTTCACAACTAGTGAGTACTGCTTGAAGTTTTACTGGGAGAGCATTCAAGAATAGTTTATTTCAAAATAGAGTTTACAAGACAGGGTATCTTTAATTAAAATTTCACATAAAAAGAAAAAAGTTTGCAGAGCACTATTTATAAGTAACACCACAATTAATTTGTCATCATATCTCTGTAAAGAATAGGCAAGCAATGTGTCACTTTAGTAACATTTTTTCCTGGTCTTTCACTTTCTGTATTCTCTTTTCTTGATTTCTTATCATTGAAGACATTGCTGAAAATGTTGATAAAATAAAGTTAGAATAACAACATTTACTGAGGCTTTAATTCTATTATGTGCTTTTTAAAAGGTCAGCTTGCTATTGTAGAATACATGCATTCTGAGTTCAAGAAGTTCTTAAAAATGCAAAGTAGTATATTTTTGAAAACATATGTTATGGAACAGAGCTAAAGATAAATCTCTACTAGTTCAGATATTTTAATGAGCATGATAATTATTATGATAGAAGGAATGCATACTATTGTTAATAATCTGAACACCTCAGAAGTGTACAGAGATGCAAGTTAGTCTTTGTCTCTGCTCCCTTCACCTGTTGAGCCCACTCCCTTGAGGTCATCGCTGTAAACAGTCTGGTGAATATCTTCATGCGTACTTGTGTACACACACACACACACACACACACACGAGTTTCTTCTTTACATAAACGGAAATGTAGTATAACTTGTTCTGTAGCTTGCTTTATTCACTTAACAAAATGTTAACATCTTCCCAGTTCAGCTCACATTTTGTTATGACTGCACAGTATTCCATTATATGGATGTACCAATATGGTAATAAACACATTTTTAAAAGTTGCTTTCTTAGTTTTGTTTTTAAACAATGTTACAGGAAATACATTTATATACAAACCTTAGTACATTTGTAGAATTACTTCTTATAGAAAAAATTGTTAGAAATGGAATTTCTGGGCCAAGGCATATGTGCACTTTAGACAAATGCTCCCCAAATTCTCTAAAACATATTTGTTTCATAATTTCCTAGAGACATCCCATCCAGACAATGTATCCAATATAAAGGTCTTTATATATTTTTAAACAAATGCGACAAGTCTCTCATTTGAACTATTAAATGGTGGCATTACTCAAATAAACCCAGTAATATCAATCAAAGCGTGATAAAAATGAAGCCAAGGAGATACTGCATCTTCTTTGAAAAGCTCACAATAACTTAAAATCAAACATTTTCTGATATTTATCCCCACAGGGTCTGGTGTCATTATAAGGCAGGGGTCCTCAAACTACGGCCCGCGGGCCACATGCGGCCTGCCGAAAACATTTATCCGGCCCGCCGGGTGTTTTTGCAGCCGCTGTGTGCATAGGAATTTGTTTATAGGTTTTTTTTTTAACTATAGTCCGGCCCTCCAACGGTCTGAGGGACAGTGAACTGGCCCCCTGTTTAAAAAGTTTGAGGACCCCTGTTATAAGGGATCTGGAACCTTTTTACATAATAATTTGGTAAAACGTGGATTTCAGAGTTAGAAATTACAGAGATGAAGTCCCAGCTCTACTACTCATGTGACTTGGGCTTTATTGACTGTGATCTTACTTGTAGTTTCAAGTGATGTAACATTAGTGCCCACGTCCCAGTTGTTGTGAGGGTCACATGGAGAAAACATCAGTAAAGCTCTGGGAACAGGGCCTGCCACAGAGCTGGAAAATGCTCAATAAATGCTAATAGCAATGATGATTATTAACAAAGTTAAATTTATTTTATAAGGATTTGTTCTTAGAAAAATATCCTTCATCTGCATCTTACTTCTCTAGAGCTGGGAAGATAGAATAACATGTATACTTCAAAATGAACTTCCCTCTGAAAAGAGGCTCCAGGATTCATGAATTTATGTCAGAAAAGCATAGAGCGAGATAGCCCTCCCAAGCCCATGGGAACATATCCAAATCCTCCCATATGCACAGGAACATCCACTTAGCACTTATGCCTAAGTGTTGCCTGGGATTTGCAGAGTACAATAACGTCTCATCCAAACAGCTTTAGGGTATTTATAAGTGGTTTGTTTTTTTTATGTGGCCTAGTCTCTCTTTCTTTCTTTAAGGTGGAAGAGTTATTAGTGAAGCAGTGAGACAGAGAGGGCTGCTCCACAGACAGAGCAGCCTGTGGCAGAGTCGCGTACAGTCCATGCTGCCCAAAGCCCTGTGTAGGCTGTGTACTGCTATTTTGTTTTCTGGCTACTGACCGCAATCATGCCCTAGCTATTGCCACACAAATGCTTATCTACAGTAGAGCAGGACTACAGTGACCCGCCTAAGGTCACACAATTAATCCAGGGGTTGGTCAGGGTTCAGACCCTTATATGTTGCTTAAGACTGCTTATTCAGGATGCTTTACAGCGGGTCAATAGATAGGAGGCTTCACCTGAAGGGAAGGGGAGCATTCTTTTGAGCAAGGAAGATCTCGCCAAATGTGCACTGTACCTTGGTTCTTCAACTGTAAATCTTCCACCAGAGTTTGCAAGCTTTCCAGTCTGTTCTGAAGCTTCCTGCATGTTTTTCCTGTGGTTTCTATTGGCTGAGACTGTGAAGCTATTAGAAAATTGCTTAGATGTGATATTAAAAATCTATTTAATATATATTTTAGAAATCTTTCAATTACAGGTTAAACAACTGTTCCTTTCAAATAATGAAAACCTTAACCTATGAAAACCTATTTTAAAATAAAGAAGTGTCTTATCTAAACACTGCAATGCTAACTTATTTTGTTTTAAACCAAGCTGATTTACTCTTATTTAACTACACAGCATTAAATGGGATGAG